AAATGGAAACGAGAACTAATTTTTTGACTAAAACCTGCGGTCTCCTGGTGGCCTAATTTTGACCCATACCATACCCATATTGCAAATTGTTGATTCTCTAGTTTCTCAGACTAACCTGGAAGCTTCCAGAAGGCCTCTGTAAATGGAACCAAGTCTTCCAAAGGGGTCCTGGGAGCTTCCATGTTAGTCTGGGGGAGGGTACTATGGTTTTGTGGTTGATGGTTGATTTACTTACAATATGTTTGGCCTCCGTGCCCAAAACTATGTTTTAAAGCATGGAGGGTCCAAGTACTTCAGCTTTGGTTTTATATCGCTGTGCAACAGCTATAGCCCAAACAAAGCATAACACTCCCAGCTACACACATTGAAGACGACTTCTTTTCCCCCCAAAAAAAAAAAAAAAAACGCCCCGGAACTGAGACGACCGAACTCGGAGATGTCCATTCCCAGGATTCAAAGTCTCACTTTCAAAAGGCTTGTTCTTTGGCAGCTCACAGCAAGTGGCAACCTAAGACCCCATGTCAATCAAACCATGAAGTCATAAACAACAGGTAAGTCTGACCCAGGATCAGTCAACCCCTGGTCTCAATAGGAAAGGTCCCATTCAAGAGAAACAATCCTTCACTTCTTCGATAGTTATAATCCGGGGCCATGTTGAAAAGGGCCTATCCAAAACCATGTAATCGTGTATCCAAGGTCTCCTGGACTTGGCGATCTGACTGCCTGGCATATCCCTTCGCTTTTCTTCGGGTCGCGATGGTGGGTCATGTTACCGAACCTAGTGGATGGACGAAATCCACTTGGCACCACCTAAGAAACCCTGGAATGATTCGATTCCCCTCGTAAATCCACAGTAGGGAGCCTGGGAAATCCCGGGCACACAAGGAAGCAAGGAATGGAATGAACTGGTTTCAGGTTTGCTCCAGTCACGGTCCAATGCCAATCGTGCCTGACCAACCTTGGCTTTGACCCCATGCAACAACTTAACATCTTGCTGGTCCGCAAGCAAAATGAAAGAAACCCAAAAGTGCCGAAAGGGTAACGGGGTTAGTTGAGTCTGGCAATGCAACCAGCACGTGTTGCTTCAGTGGTGGCAACCCATCTTGAGCTGCTTTTTTCAGGCCCCAGCAGCGGCTAGTCAGCCCCAAACGGAAACAGTGGGATTCATTTTCCACCATTTTGTGGTTGTCTTGAACTAGGGGCACCCCAAAATGGTGGGTGGTCCTTTTGTTTGCCCTTTGCAACCAACCCTCAAAGCGCACCCGCCGAACAAAAAATGAGCTCAGCCCGGCTGTGCCATGCCCAGCCCTACCCGGCCATGAGCACAAAGTCAGCCAGGTACCTGCCAAGGTCTCGCCGCAACCCCCCAAAAAAACAAACTGAAATGAGATCTCAGATGGGTGCGTCGTCTTTTAGGGGACCCTTATTGAGTTGGTGGTTGTCCTTTTGGTGTCCCTTTAACAGGGCTCCTTACAAGATACATGTTGCCCAATTGAAACATGGCTTTTTCCACCAAAATAAAGGGACACCACAATTTACAAGTTGCAATGCTCAGGTGTATTCTGCATCCGGATCCCTGCTTAAAACCACCAAGAACTGGGCTACCCTCAAAAAAGGACGGACCCGTATTATTTGGGGCAGCATTTGGTGCACATCGTTTGGGGAATGTCTACCAGCCACTAAAGGTGTTCCCCAAAAAAAACATAGCCATGGTTTAAGGAACCCCACAATTTGCCCAAACCCCATTCGTTGGTTTACAAATAGAAGAGAAAGCACAACTCAATGACGCCTGGGGCAGAATGCCTTGCGGTGTCCGCTCTTAAAAGATTTGATCCGGGGCTGGGGAATGCATCTGTCGCTCCCAGAATAGGATGAACAAAACCTGCAAACTTCACAACAACTCCGAAGGCTGAACGAAGGGATCCTCAAGGGACCTGTATCCTGGGCTCTGCGGCACACGCTATTTTCATCCACCAGGGGTAATCATGGATGCCGAATTCCCATTGCGGACACACCGTATGGTTCAATTCCTTCCACACCTGCGCTTGAACAGGGGTCCCTATATTTCCCCTTTAAACATCAACCAAGCAAGAAGCCATCCGAGGGAGACTTACGGCACCGAAAGCTGTGATCTTCAAAACCGAAACGTTCAGATCACCGAAATGACCTGTAGCTGGTTCCCTGTTCCAGGCTCCCCAACTTCCCAGCAGGCTCCCTCCCCATCCCAAAGACCCCGAAGGGCACTTGGACGCAAAGGAGCCCACAATGGTGCCAGCAATGGTGGCCGGCTCCTCGCGATTTGAGCAGGGAAACCGAGGAACCAAGCAGACCCTACTTTACCTAGGCTGGAATTGGGACCACAGCCAAAAATATATAGCTTTTTTGCCTGGTTAGTGGAAAACAAAGGGAAAAATAAAAAAGGGGGAACTAATTCTGGGGAAGTTACAAGGCGCCTAGGAGGGGACTAGGATACTCAAACCAATTTTCGGGCTGCTTGAAAAGTGAAAACCACTGAAACCACTGTAACCACTGTTGCTGGAACATCAAGCACGTAGATGTTCCTGTAAAGGAGGATTTTAAGCGGGTGTTTATCGATTTTGCCCTGGTCTACCGCAACTTGTTCCCCCAACCAAACATGATCTGGTTGATTCTGGTCCATAGTAAACCATTTACCTGCGCGGCCAGCATCTGTCAGGCCAACTTCGCCGCTGCAAAACTGCTCCGCTGCAGCCAAACCTCCCATCGCAAACGCAGCACAATGCAACATATGTTTCATTCGGGATCCCAGCGATCCCAGTGCGGCAACTGCTCGATCAAACTGCGGAGGACGGGGACAAGGGCGCTGTTTCGTTCACATTCACTTAGAGTCTCAAATTTGCAAGCAAAGCTGCAGGCTATGTTAAGTCGCGTTCCTTTTTAAGGGAACTTCTGTCAGAGTCCAGACATCAGCCTCACACTAAACTGGACACCAGATGAATGATTCCAGCTGACTGCTGGTCCAGGCCGCTGGCCATGGAAAGGAAAGGCGCTCTGCTTTCGGTGGTTGGCTGTACAGGGAAACCCCTGCACAAAAAAATGGAAAACATGGGTACCACTGGGTGTCCAGGTCAATCAAGAGGGGATCAAGGCCATGACACAGGAGTCTCCGCAGGAAACGCGACCGGCAGCGAAATGCGTGGCCCCCGCCATCATCACGATGATGTCCCAGTCGATAAGGCTGCGACCGTTCCTGAGCGTTTCTGCTTTCGGCTCTTCTCAAATAGGGTTGATCAGTTTCGCTCTTCTCAAATTCAGGTTGATCACCAGCTCCTTTACATGGGATGACCATCAGGAAAGCCGCAAAAGAGGATGACTTTCACTTCCATGGGAAAAGCTGCTTATGGGCCCTACATGGAATATGGATGCAACCCCCAATTGCCAACTCTTCGACAGCTCCGAGCTCCGAGCGCAAGGGTGGCCATGCGTGTCGCCCGAACCTCACCGCGCCATGCATCCAAGTCACTCATTTACCTGGAACACGTTGACCATGGTGTTGGCCAACGCACCTGAGCCACACATGAGTAATCAAAACCCGGTATTAAAGTGGTCGACCCAGAACCATGCTTCAAGGCTGAAGAAGGCGGATATCCGCAGCTCTTTATGGCAAGGGGATTGTCCCTTACTAACCTTCATCTACCCGGGCTTTGAGCAAGTGGCTCATATTGGGTTCTTCTCCAGCCTGTGTCAAACAAAAGCAGCCTGCCGCCGGCTTTTGGGTAGCGAGAACTTAGCGACAAGGGCTAGGTCAGGATACCACCCGAATTCCTTGGCTCAGGTCACCTTGCTCCAGATCTTTGGTGATGCTCTCTCGTGGTCCAACCCGCAAGACGGGCAATAAAGAACCACAGAACCCGAATCTTCATCTTGGGTAGGGGTGTCCTCCATTTGCTTTTTCGTCCCCTGGGAAAAACATATTTCCAGTAGTGAAATTGTTTCCCTTTAAAACCAACAGAGGATTTTTGAATACATATTCATGTCACCAAATGGAAGTCGTCCTCACAAGCGACCTGAACCTGCCGTTAGAACCCGTTAGGCGGTCCAAACAGCGTCTGGCAGAGGGCCAGTTCTTGGCGCTTGCGATCCGCGGTCTCTTCGTGGGAGTCTGGCTGCTTTGGACCCAATATGGCCATGGGTCATAACCTATGGCTATCCCATTTTGGGGGCGGAACACCCATGTAGTACCGACCTATTTTGATGTTCACCCAGGGTACAGGGTTTTGACCCACAGCCATGTGAAGATGCACCAAATCCCGGGCCCCATTGAAATAGGAAGCTGCAAATGAGCCTGCGTGAACCCGACACCATTTCTGGCTGGTGCGTGGGAAGCTCGCGTTTCCGCGTTTGGAATCGTTGTGGGGTAAGGTAGATAAAGCTGCTCATTTGCGTCACAATCAAAACCTGACAATAAAAATAGTCTACCCAGAACTAAAGAATCATACAGGCGCCTGCACCCATTTCTCGTTGGGACTATGCCTTACCCTTCATCCACCTGGGTTGTGAGCAAGCGGCTCATTTGCTCCCCAAAAAAACTCCATATGCCTAAGTTTCCTGGGGAAAAAAAAGATATGTCCAGTAGTGAAATCGACTCCCCTTAAAATCAACCAGCAGAGATAGATTCCCTTCTCAACAGGGGAACATTTTTTCGCAATTTCTTAAAAATAACAACAAAAAAAACATCTCAACCACATGGAAGAGACCCGCAAGAGATGATCCTTGGACCATCGAGCTGAAAGAAGGGCTCCGTTCGAATCAGACCGACAAGCGCACTGATAAACTCACAGACTCACGGCCCAGGATTTGCACAAAGGGAAACAACATGGGCTTTGTTTTTGCACAAAAAATGCAAACACGAAAAACACATGTATATTGTCCTCCAAATAGAATCTGCAACGCATCCGTCCAGATCCGACTCGCGCCTCCAAGGATGGTGAAGTTCGAGAGGGCCACGGCATGTCGCGGACCTTGGCACTCGCGCTTTCTAATGGTTTTTTTTGTCAACATAGAGGGGCCAAAACAGCAGTATCAGTTTATGTCTGTTCACATGTATTTGAACAAAAACAAGTATAATTCATTTTACTAGACGTAAACCTCATGGGGGTTGGGGTGGAGCCCAAATAAGCCCGTGTTAAGCCCTTAATAAGGTCTTCATAAGGCCTTATTTAGGGCTTATTCGGGCTCCCTCCCCCTTCCCTCCCTCCCCCCAGCCCCCATGATAAGCCAACTGGTGGTGTCCTTTCGCTCACCCATTAAAACCAACCAAAGTGAGGTCCCCCACAACATATGACGAGTCATTTTGGAAGGACACCAAAGGGACACTGCCCATTTTACGGATTCCCAACCCCAAACAGATGAATCCCTGGGAATAGTGGAGGGAGTACCATTCAAAGTCGCTGAACCATGGAACCCGATCCTACGGATTTTCTCTTGGGTCAGCTCTTGAAAAACTGCTTTGGACCTGGCAAACACAAAGCCCTCAGCACTCCGAGAGCACCGCCAGCGTTCGGTGGGAAAGAAATGGGTTGAAACAGAAGCTAGGGATGCTGCAACGGGGATGTTCACAGTGGTGCAAAAACGACACTTGTTCTTTGCTGGAACGTTCTGTAAATAAAGCAAAAACAAGCCAAATGTGAAACAACGACGTGAAGGCCAACTACTTGCCCTCCTCATTGACTCATGTACTGCAACTCGGCATGTAAATGGTGTACTGCGTTGTGGGATATTCCTGTCGCAAGACCAAGAACTCACATTCCATCAGCCTGGCAAAATGTCGCCAATGCATCAAATGAGGCTTGATCAATATTCCATTTAAGGGTGGGGAATATCATCTTTTAGGTCGTTTTCCAACCAATGGTCCTCCCATGGTTCACGGACCTTTTGATCAAATGCGATGGATCCTATCCAGAAGGCCACCAAGCGCTTGCTGGAGCGGGTTTTTTGTTCTTCAGGTCTGTTGCCACGAGAAACCGGTGCCGGGTGTTCAAACATCTGGGCGTGTTTTTGGTTTGGTAGACCCCGGACCCCCCAAAATGCTGGGGTGTCCTTTAGCTAGACCCTCCAGTAGAGAGGTTGGAATAAGGGTACCGACTCTTTTCTGTAGTCTATTTTAGTAGAACCGTCCCCGCCCAAAAGGATGTAACAGGGCACTACTGGGAAACCTAGTTAGTTTCCCCCCCCCAAAAAAAAAAACGAAAGACGGGTGATTACCCTCAAGTCAAAAAAAAAAACAAAAAAAAAAAAAAAAAAAAAAACACAAAAAAAAAAAAAAAACAAAAACAAAAAAAAAAAAAAAAAAAAACAAAGAACAAACAAAAAAATTAAAAAACAAACCAAAAAAAATTAAAAAAAAACCCCAAACGTCCCCCGACCACGCTCCGTGGCTACGGGAGCGCGCGGCATACCAAAAGCCAGACAGTCCAGGCACACGGAAGGCCCTAGGGTCCAAACTCCTGCTAAGAGAAGGAAGAAATCCAATCTTGGCTGACGAAACTTAGGTAAATAAAGATGGAGCAACCAGAAGAAATGGAACTAAGATACAGGCACCAACATTCTAAGATACCAGTGTTTGCCCATGATTTGAGGTTGGGGGGGGCAGGGCATGCCAATCATTCCTCATCAACATGCCACTTCCACCCTCCCACCCTCCCACTTCCACCCACCCTCCCACTTCCAAGGTGTCCTTTCTTCATGTGCCACATGCCCTCCAACTGTCTCACTTCCCACTCCCCAAGGATGTCCCCCCCCCACAGTTACATTTGCCTGCCCACATCCCAACCCTTCCCTGTGCCCACATCCCAACCCTTCCCTGTGCCCACCCCCTGCACTGTGGCTCGGACTACTTCATGGAATACTTGGAGCAGCAGTTCACAGGGAGGGAGGGAGGGTAAAAACATAGGCACCGCTGAAAAGCGCACCTTTTTTTTGGGCACGTGGTAAAGATGACCAAGCAGGCCTGGCCAGACAGGGAGGATGGTCATGGGGCACTTTAGCCTGCACCAAGACTGCAATATTGAATGGCCTAGTGGTCCATACCCCTGCTTTGCTTTAGAACTGTAACAACTGAAAAGTACTTGCCAGCACAGAGGGCACAACCATTTGGAAAACACAGGACCTGCTAGTTCATCACCTGAGATGTCATTCGCATTGGGGCCACCTTTTTCAAACTTGCTGTTCAACATCATGAAGCTAAATAGTGATTGGCTCTCTTTGCAGCATTGAAGCACAAGATTACTTGCAGCAATAACTGAATCCCAAAGCTTCATGGTGAATTTTAATCTTAAATGCATCACATGGTTGTTTGAGCCCTGGATTTACAGGAAGGGATGTACAAGAACACTTTGCAAGCATGGGACATGTATAGTTGTCAGGGAGCAGGTGGGCAAAGTGTAGGCTGCAAGGTGTCTGGGTAGTGGCGTTCAGAAATTTCTGGTCCTAAGTTTCCATTTGACCATAGCACCAAAAGTCAAATTGAAATGAAGCTTCAGTCAGCTCTATGCTTTCACTTGCAGCCATGCTGCATTTGCACACTTGCCGTCAACCATAAAAGCAGCCGCAAAAGGGGCAGCAGGACACTAAGGCTCAAACCCTGCAATACTAAGGCTTAGTTCACTAAGGTCCCAGCAGAGCGGAGCCTGCTGCATACTAAGGTTCAGACACTGACTGAGGTCTGACTGAGGTCTGCACACAGCTTTCTAGGCAGTGCAAAGGCTGGCTGGGCAGAGGGCTGGGCTAACATGCCATTCCAAACAGCACTAAGTGAATGCAATGTACTGTTCTGGCCACTGCTGAATTTGGGTAGCCTCCAGTATTGCACAAGGCATTTTGAAACTGCCAACTGTTTCTCTGGAACTTTGCTAAGCCCTCAGGGCACTCATTGCTCCTCATGTCTTGGAGTGTCCCGCCCAAGAAATTCAATCAGCACCAAAGATGCAGGATAATCAGGGAACACTCTGTGTGTGTGTGGTTGATGGCAGCTGTTTCCAACAAGAAAACGTTCAAGCCCACAGGTGAGATGTCTGACCTGCTTTTCTGCCACCCAGCCAAGGCTCAAATTCTGACAGTACCCATGGGCTGGTCCATAAACAATCTGTCATTGTGAAATGGCTGCAAAAACATATTCCAATGGAGCGTTGATGTCAACAACAAAAAGCTGTTTGGCCTAGTGCTTCTGCAATCAGAAGCTTGAGCTCCCCTGACCTACCAAGCTATCCTTTACCCTTGCCCCTCCATGCCTTGGCTTTCCAAGGCATGGCTGCAACCCACCCTAGCCTCTTCATGAGGGGTTCCATCAGCCATGCTCAGGTTGCTTGCCTGTTGGTGCCTCAGACCATCCTCAGTGCACTGAACATGCTTTGTGAGCTAATCCTGAGTTGATGTAACTGTAAGTTGCTACCCAGCCCGTTTGGTGCAGGGAACCCTGACTCACTGCCTCTCACCCTGGCCGCTTTCTGGCTGAGGCCTGCTGCCCTTGGAGGTGTGCCAGGACATCCAACCTGCCTTGGGCCCAGACAAGCCAGCCGACAGCGCCTTGCATTCCAAGCGCCTTGATTTTGGGTGTATGTTATTGCAGGGGGTTCTATATGTCTTGACAAGGAACAATTGCTGGTAACAGTAAGGGGCTATCTTTTCATCAAAACTCATGTGCCATTGTGAATGCCGTCATCCTTTGGCAAGCTCTGTATCGTTAGTTCCCCCATGCAATCTTGCACTTCTCTTACAGCCTGATGCCTCTTGATTTTCTTGGATTTGCCAGCAAGATGTGGTTGCAGTTGTGGTTCAGGGCTGCTGCAAGCAAGTTGCTTGATCTCTGTGATGCAGCAGGTGTAGGCTCAAGGGCTGTTGGCTGTGGCAGCTTTTCAGCCATGTATGTGAACAACCTCTACATCATTCAGAACCAGAATGAGGTTGGCACAAGAAGGAAGCCACCCTGCCAGCTTGCCAGAGACGCCAGACTAAATTGGCAAGAACATGACAGTCATAAATGTGCGTGTGCCAAAGAGAGAATGCGCGTGTGTGTGGGGGCTAACTGAGGATCAAGTGCGAGCAGCCAGGAACCGGCTGGTGCTTTTCTCAGCTGCTGGCATTTGCCTATCTAGGAACTTCTTTGCTGAGGGCACAATTCTGAAGCCTTGTCCTGCTTGGCTAAGGAGAAGGCATTGATGGGTCATCAACCTCCTGCCCGGCCTCAACAGGCAAAGGAACGGGATTCAGTAGATCATCATCATCATCACCCCCACCACCGTCATCATCATCATCATCATCATCATCATCATCATAACTCATCATCATCATCATCATCATCATCATCATCATCATCATCATCATCATCATCATCATCATCATCATCATCATCATCATCATCATCATCATCATCACATCATCATCATCATCATCATCATCATCATCATCATCATCATCATCATCATCATCATCATCATCATCATCATTGGTTCCTTGTCATCTTGTGTTGGGGAGAAGAAGTAAGCAATCATTCATTGTCTGTTAAACACTGAGACTGGCTGACAGCTTTGATGGTGTTTCTTGGGTGCTTCTTGGAAGGAGCATCAAAAGGCCTGGAATTCCTGGACTGGAGCCTTAGCATTGCAGGAGCAGCAAGAGGCTTTGGCATGTCTCAGGTGCTTGCTTTTTGGTGCCTTTCAAATGCAGGCAGAGGAATATCTGGAAGAGGAGCATGGGGAGGAGTATGAGGAGCCGCCTGCGGAGGAGCAGTTTGAGGAGGCGAGGCGTGTGTGCATGTATGTGTGTGTGTGGCAGAATTTTAATGACACACTTACTTTTTAGCCACTGATGGTGGGGCATGTGCTATCCCTTGTTCAGTCAACGGCCTGGCATTGGCACATGTGGCTTGTCACTTGTCATTCAGTGTTGTAGCATGTGGAGAGTCAGGTGGCTGTGGAGAGCCAGGCCTGGAGGGCCGGCAAGCCTTCACTGCATCAGGCCAGCA